CCTGTAATCCCAGCACTTTGGGAGGCCGAGGCGGGTGGATCACGAGGTCAAGAGATCGAGACCATCCTGGTCAACAAGGTGAAACCCCGTCTCTACTAAAAATACAAAAAATTAGCTGGGCACGGTGGCATGTGCCTGTAATCCCAGCTACTCAGGAGGCTGAAGCAGGAGAATTGCTTGAACCCAGGAGGCGGAGGTTGTGGTGAGCCGAGATCGCGCCATTGCACCCCAGCCTGGGTAACAAGAGTGAAACTCCGTCTCATTAAAAAAAAAAATTAAAAAAATAATATTAATGATATTATGATAAGGAAGAAGGAGAGGACATCTTGCTTTACAGTTCAAAAGGTACACTTATATTTATTATTTTCTGTAATACTTTAAACAATCCTGCATAATAGAAACTGTTATAACTCTCTTAGTCCATTTATGCTATTATAACAAAATACCTGAGACTAGATGATTTATAAATAGTAGAAATGTATTTCTTACCATTCTGGAGGCTGGAAGTTGAAGATCGAGGGACCAGCAGGTTTGGTGTCTGGTGAGGGCCTGGTCTTTGCTTCCAAGATGAAGCCTTGTTGCTTCATCTTGTGTCTTCTGGAGGGGGCAAAGCTGTGTCACAGGACAGAAGGGAAGGAGGGGCAAAAGAGCTCAAGTTAGTTTTCTCCAACCCTTTCATAAGCCCTCATCAATTCTGCCCTTATGGCTTTGTAGCCTCCTAAACGCCTCACCTGTTAATACTCTTGCCCTGGGGATTAAGTTTCAACATGAATTTTGGAGAGGACACAAACATTCAAAATATAACGCTCTCCAAACATTAATTTTCTAATGTAAAAAATTAGCAAGTAATAGCACACACTGTTTCTCTGAGGATTGAGTGATGCTATACAGGTAAAACAACTACTTTCGTACTTGGCACATAGAAACACTCATTAAAGGTCAGGTTTGTAGACATACCAAGCATTCTGTCCTGAATCATGCCTTTTAGAATGTGCTTCCGTCTTCCTGGACCACATTTCCCACATCACCATTAAATGGTTGATACCCATTCATCCTTCCCATCTCAGTGGAAAATCAGGGAAGGCTTCCCTGATCCTCCAGCTTCAGTTGCATTTCATTCAGTATTATTTTGTCTTTCCTACCAGGATTTTCATGACCAATTATTTAATAATTTTCAGACTCTGTATCCTCATCTGTATAATGGAGGAAATAATAATAGCTACCAGTTATTAAATACCTTATGATAAATTGCTTATGAAGGATGAGGAGTGGAAGGTGGTGTCAGAGATGACCCTTGTGTTCCTGGATGGTGTAACTGGTTAGATGGTGGTGTCCTTACAGATGCTACAACCACAAGTCAGAAGTGACATCACTGTACTTAAGACTCGGAGTTTGTGGCATTGGCCAAGTGCAGTGGCTCATGCCTGTAATTGCAGCACTTTGAGAGGCTGAGGCAGGCAGATCACTTGAGCCCAAGAGTTTGAGACCAGCCTGGGAAACATGGCAAAACCCCATCTCTACAAAATACCAAAACTAGCTGAGCAGGGGGGGGGTGCATGCCTGTACTACCAGCTACTTGGGAGGCTGAAGTGTAAGGATCACTTAAGCCTGGGAGGTCGATGCTGCAATGAGATGAGATTGCACCACAGCACTCCAGCCTGGACAACAAAGCAAGACCCTGTCTCAAAAAAAAAAAAAAAAAAAAATTGTAGCCTGTAGGAATCTCAAAAATGATAGTGTTAACTGCCATTTTCCATTTCACAGATGAGGAAACTAAAGTGCAGCACTGTTAAGCAACCTGTTAAAAAGAACCCCTGTGACCCACTGGGTAACTGCAGTAATTCAGAATGCTAATTTGAATAAATCTCACTTTACTATAGAAATCGTAGTTCCTTGTATAAGTACTTCTCAATTTATAGAAAGTTAGCATTCCAGGAGACTGCCTGGACTGCCAGTAAGGTCCGTTGGTTTTTAAAACCAACACGTGTTTACTCAGTCGAGGACTTGTACCTCAGTTGCAATAGGTAGAAATGATGCACCACGCTTTGACACAATATATAGGGTTTAATCTTTGATAGCTTATACATTGAAAGTTTGCAAGTAAAAGGTTTTTTTGTGTTTGTATGTTTATTCTATGTTTAAAAACCCAAACAAAAATATAACCCCAAAGAATTTTTTATACACATTGAAATCAACTCTCTTCTTTACCAGGGAATAGGAGAATGTTATATTTGTAACTAGTAATTTGGGGCTCTCATCCCAGTGCAATGTAAATAGGAACTCTTCTATTTTCTCAATTCATAGCTTTTTTCACTCAGGTACTGTGTTATTTCCCTCTATCATCTTTTAATTAATTATTAGGTTGGTCCCTCAACTTTTTTTTTTTTTTTTTTTTTTCTTGAGACAGAGTTTCACTCTTGTTACCCAGGCTGGAGTGCAATGGCGCGATCTCGGCTCACTGCAACCTCCGCCTCCTGGGTTCAGGCAAGTCTCCTGTCTCAGCCTCCTGAGTAGCTGGGATTACAGGCACGCGCCACCATGCCTGGCTAATTTTATTGTATTTTTAGTAGAGACGAGGTTTCACCATGTTGACCAGGATGGTCTCGATCTCTTGACCTCGTGATCCACCCGCCTCGGCCTCCCAAAGTGCTGGGATTACAGGCATGAGCCATCGCGCCCGGCTGGTCCCTCAACTTTTTAGTCACTCTCAACTCTCAAAAGTCTTAACCCAGTTTAAAAGTTGAGTTTCAGTCTCTGCTTATTCTCATTTCTTCCCTTATTCTACTTTAGGCATGAGCCAGGTACCCCAATGGAGCTGTAGTTCAGGCTCTGACTCTAAGAGATCTCTTCCCCTTCTATTCCTCCTCAAGGCTGAGCCTTTCTGGAGAGCAGGGAGGAAGCAGAGGGAAAAGGATTCTGCCTCTCAACTCCTTTGGCAGTTATTGCAGCTGTTTCTCTGACTAGTATTGACTAACACGTAATGTCTTTTCTATGAGAGGTGACCAAAGGCCAGCTATTCTGGGCAACGTGTGTGAATTCTTCAGAAGGCTATGCAGAGAATGCCCACTGCACTGCTCTCAACCTGGCCAAGGCCCAGCTTCTTCCACTGCCTCACTAGCTCCCATCGTTGGTGGTACAACCCACAGCTTTTTGCTGAGGAGGTAGCTTTTTTTTTTTTTTTTTTTTTTTTTTTTGAGACAGAGTTTCGCTCTTGTTACCCAGGCTGGAGTGCAATGGCGCCATCTCGGCTCACTGCAACCTCCGCCTCCTGGGTTCAGGCAATTCTCCTGCCTCAGCCTCCTGAGTAGCTGGGATTACAGGCACGCGCCACCACGCCCAGCTAATTTTTTGTGTTTTTAGTAGAGACGGGGTTTCACCACGTTGACCAGGATGGTCTTGATCTCTTGACCTCGTGATCCACCCGCCTCGGCCTCCCAGAGTGCTGGGATTACAGGCTTGAGTCACCGCGCCCGGCGCAGCTGAGGAGGTACCTTTTTAATGAAGCGTGGGGCAAGGAGACAACTACGCTGTGGCCCTTGTCTCTGCCCTGTCATCCCTCTTCAGTTCTCTGCTCAGATATAGGCAAGGGAAGATGAGCAGCTCTGTGTCTGAGCAACACAAGGCAAGGGTGCCTCTGTGCGTGCACCGTCAATCTCTTTATGCCTCTTCGTCCCTTCTCCCTCAGTGTGGTCTCTCCCCGACCACTGCACTTCCTTCCTCTATAGGTTCTCCTCTGTGACTCTGTCACTCTCTCACCCTTTCAACCCCGTCTAACCTTGTCTTGGGAGCAAAATGGCTCTGCAAATATGCATTCACGGCAGGAATTTCTTTGGAACTTTAACTTGCCTCTGGTTGGTTCACTGGAAGTATCCTTGGGGCACTAAGTGCCTCCTTTCCCTCCATTTTGGATTGTGGTTCTAACAGTTAACTTTGGATTTAACATTTCTGGGATAATAGTAAAGTCCTTCTACAGAATCAGTGTCCTTATTTCATAGATGAGGAAACTGAAGCTTAAAGAAGTTAATCTTTGGGCACACAGCAAGAAAGTAGAAATCCCATTTTCTCCATCCCCATTGCTCAGACCCTAAAGGCCATGCCCTTAAGTAGTCCATGACAGCGTATCCTCATAACACATCCTCTGTGCTGTTTCTGACTTTCACTGGAAGACAGCGTTACCACCTGGATTTCTACACAAGTGAAAACTCGGACATATGGACTTACAGAGGAACAGGGCTACGAGTCCTGACTGGCACATGTCAGGATAGCACCTTTTCAGGGATCTCTCTGGGCCAACCAAGAAACATGTGTAGCAGAATTACCAGGAAATTCTCCAATCGGGACTTTAGGTAGAAACAACATGCCAACAGTTACAATTTTGTTGGAGAGGAAATGTGACACAGAGTGAGTCACTGAAGGAAATAGACAGATCTTCTTTTAAAATAGCATCTCACCAAAACAGTAGATACTGGAGACTCCAAAAGTAGGGAGGCAGAGAGGTGGCAAGGTTTGAAAAACTACCTATTGAGTACTATGTTCACTTTTTGTGTGATGAGTTCAGCAAAAGCCCAGACCTCTGCATTATGCAATATATCCACGTAACCAACCTGCACATTTACCTTCTGAATCTAAAATAAGTTTCAAAAATAAAATAACATCTTAAATGGATTTGTTGGGGCATGATGATTCAATTTAACTTCTTAACCTATCACCTTGGAAGGCCCCAAAGGAAAGGACACTAATGACAATAGTTAATATTTCAAGCCACTTTGAGACAAGAACCATTAATTGTTTTAAATGCATTATGTTGCAGCAACCCTTGAAACAGATACTTCTATTTTCTCACTTAAAGTAACTAAGCTTAGAGATGTAACTTGCATAAGATAATAGACATCTGAAGTGTGGTAAAGAATAAACAATTTGTGTCTTTTTTAAAAGTTTGTTCTTTATGATTCAGCTATTAATAAAAACGATGATAAAATAATTTTTCCTCTGTTTTACAGAGTAACCGAAAACATGGATAAGAATCCAGAAAGGCAAATGCTTCTAAACCTTCAAAGATGGCAAAATTGTTTACAGCAGTGAGAGGGAGATGAAAATCTAAGAACTACCCTGTAGCCAGGACTACAGCTGTGTATTTTAAAGCCATTACTCAAGGTTTCTTACTTGACAGTTCCTACACAACCCTGTTGAAAATCTACAATATATGCTGCATTTAATGAAACATGTATATGTCAAATCAGAAGAGAAGAACTATAAACATATATTGTGTAAAGAAAAAGTTCAGCACTGGAACTAGTTTCAGCAGATCAAGCAAAGATTTGTCTTGGGCATGGAACCAAAGTTACAATGAAACATTCAACCCCTGCTGTGCAGGGGGTAACACCACACCACATGGAAACACTAGTCCTGATAATAAACATCATTTTAAAAGATCAGAACAAAAAAAAAAAAAGAAAAGAAAAACAAGGGTGGGTGGGGAGTGAAGCACGAGGAATACCTATGAAGAGCTATTTACAATAAAATGTTTCATTTGAAAAGTCTGGTTTCTTACTACAGGGATTTGTTTTTCTGTCTTTATGATTGTTTTAAACTCAGGAACAGAGACATCCGCATCGTGAAGGGGAAGAAAAACACCCTATCTTTTGTTTTTCTGCAAAAGGTGGAGCTTGTGGAATTCATTCCACAGACAACAGATGAGAAGTGGATCACAGTGACCCTAACAAAACTGGTAACCAAGTCAAAGGACCTGGGCGAACGTAACATGCGAAATAAAAGCAGATTGGATGCTTCCTTGTCCTGCTCTCACATCGGCATCCCTCCATCAACAATGGACTGGTCTCGTTCATATTGAAAATTAAGAAGATAATACTGTAAATCACATGCTCCCTGACTTAGTTCTGTTTAGAACGCCAACGTCTATGGGGAACATGGGCCAGAGATCATCTATGAATCTTTCATTTCCAAAATACTGGTTTTCAAATGGCTGCTTAAAATTGCCTGCAAATGAATATGCTATATGATTTGGGCAAAAACAAAATAGAGTCAATGAATAAATTTCTATCAACAGTCGGGTTTGCCACAGAGATGTGAATATTAAACTAAACTATTATTTTTTAAAGAATCCTTACATGCCTAGAGCATTCTGACCTCTTCTTGTTTAGAGTGATAACATTTTTTCCCAGACAGCTGACAGCAACAAGATGGCTCTACTTTTTTATATAGAAATAACATTATGTTACTGACAAGGTCATTTTCTAACAGAGACAATTAGAAGACTGGTACTTTTCCTAAGTTGTATATTACTGAGTCTTGGATTTATCTCTGAGAGCAAATATATGTTCCTGAAAAGCTAATTTTACACCTCATTTACTGTAGATAACTGAACAACCTCAATTTTTCAAATTTTTGAAGTTTTATTTATGGGACTAGAATTCCCATGCATAGAGAATATGTGTAGGGAGCCAGAAACTCTTTCTATGAAATGCTATACAAATCTTTCCATATGTGGGCTCAGTATCATCCTTCAGTTTTAGCACTGGCATTTGCAAAGCCAGAATAATAAGTGAAGAATGTACAAGAAAAACTAGAATGCTGGGGTCCTACTTTTTGTTCTGATATTTACTGCTGACCCAGGTATCTTTGGCCCAGTCATTTAACCTCTGTGCCTCAGTCTCCTCATCTGCAAAATGGGGTTAAAATGCTTTTTCATGAAGTTTTATTTGCAATTTTAGAACAAGAGGTGCTTAAAGTAGCACAATGTGCTTTGTAATTATTACAACTGCTGTATTATTTGACTTTCTTGTGTTATTGAGAAAAAAAATTCCCTCATGTAATAAAGTAGTGCTTCAGTTTGGTTAAATTTAAGCACTATAGCACTGAAGCTTGCCCATCAAGCTACTTGGGACATTATTAGCAATAAAAATGGAGAGATTCAAAACCAGTATCTTTAATAATCTTTAGCAAATAGATTATCTCATGCTATTGAACAAGATAGAAGAGTATGTCATTTCTATGATAAACATCTCCCAGCTGTCTTGATTGCATATGCTTGCCATCATACAGAATCTCACTTTTATCACAGGAGAGCCAACCATTAAACAAAGACTTGGAGTGAACTGACAGTATCACATAATTAGCTTGACTTCTTTTATTCTGGAGGAAAGTCAGGTGACATGTCCTACTGAGAAGATACAAAACAAACTATCCTGCTGCATTCTTTTTATTTATTTATTATTTATTTATTTGAAACAGTGTCATGCTCTGTCACCCAGGCTAGAATGCATTGGCACAATCTGGGCTCACTGCAACCTCCATCTCCCAGGTTCAAGTGATTCTTCTGCCTCAGCCTCCCAAGTAGCTGGGATTACAGATGTCCACCACCACGCTTGGCTAATTTTTGTATTTTTAGTAGAGAAGGGGTTTCACTATGCTGGTCAGGCTTGTCTCAAATTCCTGACCTCAAGTGATCTGCCCGTCTAAGCCTCCCAAAGTGCTAGGATTACAGGTGCGAGCCACCATGCCTCGCCTCCTGCTGGATTCTTTATTCAACTCGGTAGGTTCTAGATTAAATATGAAGAGTAGGCTCATTAGGCAAGGAATGTGAAAGAGGGTGCCTCTACACTGCTGGTGACTCAACCCTAGCAAACTTGAGTCAGAAAATATGAAAGAGGATACATTACTCTAAATTACTATCTCATACCTAAGATGTTTCAATTTCTCTTCACTCTATTCCAGGGCTCGTATGAGTAAATTTATATTCCATCTGCTCCAACACGCACCTTCCTTCTCTTAATTTTGCTTTCCCACCAAGAAATTTGTAAGTCAAAATTTATTTCCATGAACTGTTTCTAAATGATTGGAAATATTTGCAAAAGTGGTATGGTTTATATACCTAATCTGCTTATCTGCTATAAATCGGAATCGTATCATAAACACACAAAATTGTATGAGAACAACAGCTAGGATGATCATCTAAGCAGCTTTAGCTGCGTTTAGTGCCAGGCAAAAGGTGTTTTTTGTTTGTTTGTTTGTTTGTTTGTTTTGCTTAAGATCCAGGAGATTAGCAAATTTCTCTAGACTATAGGCTCAACTGTAATTTTTACCAAGTCTTGTCCATGAGCCTCAAAATTAATATATCCTTGAATAAGTCTAAACATTTCAATAGATACATCTCTCTATTATCTATTTTCACGATTATCAAAGCATCAGCAAAAATGTGGATGTATATTCTAGTCACTCATGGATCCATGGAAATGGACCATGCTTAAATGAATGCTTCCCTTGGATAGGATATTCAGCAATAGAAAAAAAAAAAGAAAGGTGTTAATAACAGTGAGATTTCCTGTGACTCCACCCCTGCATCTGTACTACCAGACGCATTTTGGCTAATGAGTTTGCAGGAGTCAGAATGGCATTCTTCGGGGGTCATTAACTTAATGTTTCTTAATAAAGTATTTATACTCTGCAAAATAAACGTACCTGACTACTAAAGATGATTTGAGATAAATAAAAGCCCCAATTTAATAGTTATTTGGGATAGAAAAATTTCATGAAAGAGGGGTAAAACATGGACAGACTATATTTGACTATACTTAAAAAGCATCTATCACAAATTGACTGTCAAACTTTTTTGTAATGCCACCCTACTTTTAGGAAATATAATTTGCTCAAAAAAATTACATCCCTTCTGACTTATGCTATATAAATTAAATTGTTGCCAACAGTTAGGTTTTAGGGGTGGAAGAATAGATCTTGCTTATTTTTATTTTTATTTTTTTGGTTCACAAATCACTGCTCGTGCAGGTAGTATGTGTCTTCCCAAGTCAATAAGATAGAGCTGATATGGAAGGCATGGGTTATCACTTACGTAGAGAGGAAACTTGTTCTCCACTAGTAATAGGAGAAATAAAGTTTGCCAAATACTTTTTGCTACAGTTTTTTTATTTCAACTTTACTTTCAATTTTAAAGACATCTCTGGCAAACTTGTTCCTTTTTGCCCATTGATTGTCAACTTGTTCTGTAAACTCATTGTGTACTTCCTTTGTTGGCTTTAATGTAATTCACAAGTTCATTGTTTTAAAATGAAGCACATCTTTTTGAGTTGCCTAGGTTTTTGTGAAAACTGTAAAAAGAATATTCATTGGTTTTGTGTTGATGTTTAAATAATTGGATCATCTGTGTTACATTACATCAAGATAGATGGATAGCATAGACATTTTATTTTTAAAATATTCAATTGCATTATTTCAATCTGTCAAAGAGTGGCACAGAATACACACACATACACACAGACACACAGACACACACATGCACACACACACACACACACACAACAATAGAAATTTGCTCTGTAATTTGGGAGTTGCATTGCTTGTTGCCTTTTGTGAAATTTTCATAACAATGTTTTGGTAATTGAATGATAGCTTTTGGCAGTTTAATTCTGTCACTTCACTATTTTAGATTTATCTACTATATTGAAAAAGTTCAATATAACTTTTGAATGATAAGTAAACAAATCAAATCTTAGATAACCATTTATGTCATGAGTTTATGCTTTCAATATGGACCCACACCCCTCTTTAAGCAGACTTCTAGGTCTTAAGTGAGGAAAGCTGTCATTCTGTTCTGCTGCCTTGTCATTTCTATATAGTGTACTATTTTGAGAGTTAATTTCAGGCATATTGGCAAGAGGATTCAGACATAATGGAAGGTTGGAGCTAATCCCTGTAAGGCCTCTTCAAGTGCCAACTTCTCTGATTCCATTTCAGAATGGGGCAGGACAGATTCACATTCCTTTGCTGTCTTTAGTTTGGTAGTTTAGTTCTTCCTAAGTAAATCTGTTGCTGAGAGTCCAAGTCCAATGTTTAATCAAAATTCCTAAAGATGGCTACTCAGAAAGCTAAACTGGTGGACAGCTTGGGCCCAGGAGTTCAAGACCAGCCTAGGCAACATGGTGAGATTTCATTTCAAAAATTAAAAAAAAAAAAGGAACAAAACTACTAAAGATATACTTATAGGGGCAATGTAGCAAAAATAAGATTATAATTTGCTATATTTAACCAAGTATGTCAGAGGTACAGGTGGTTAATGTGGTGAGGGTTCCTGTTTTTGTTTTTGTTTTTGTTTTTTCTGCATTTAGGTCTTTGTACCCATGCTTATATTTTCATCCTTTTTATATGCAAAGTTCTGTAGGGTAAGAGTGATGAAGTTAAACAACTTTGAGCCCAGTTTTGCCTACAATCAAGACCCCATGAACTTACTGAAGAGTGGATGATGCAATTTTCCAACCAGAAGCAGATCCCCAACATCCGTTAGTAACAACACTTCTATTTGACTGACATCTCACAGACTGTGCCTATATCCCCCATCAACCATAGCAACTTCCCACAATGAGGCAGATCAAACTCCAAACTTTTTTTTTTTTTGAGACGGAGTTTCGCTCTTGTTACCCAGGCTGGAGTGCAATGGCGCGATCTCGGCTCACCGCAACCTCCGCCTCCTGGGTTCAGGCAATTCTCCTGCCTCAGCCTCCTGAGT